CAATATTTGGGTCACCCTAACTTTTCATCAGGTGGGGAAGGTCACCCAAATTTTTTGGCTTTGCGAGTTTTTGGCCATAAGAAGTTTATACACCAAGTTTGAGCGAAATCGGAGAGGTCATCTGCAATTTTTGTTACACTTGGTGTGGAATGGTCGTACTGCTTTTGAGTGTGTTCCTTCTCCAATTCTCCTCTCCCATCAAAAAACATGCGAGGAGAAGTGATGTCAAAATGAGTATCGAAAATTTGAAACAAATAAAAATAAAAATAAGAAACGATTTCAGGCACGAACAAAATTACACAGAACAGATCGATATCGATGAATTGCGAATTCAAAATTCTCAACAAATCAAAGAAAAATAAAAATTGCGAACAAAAATCACTTCATACACAATTTTCACAGCAAAAAATGGTATCTAGCCATGAAATGTTTAAAATGGATTTTCGTATTTTTTTAGGTTTAAAAACGATTGAATTGTTGGCGAAATTGGGATCATCACATGGTTTTTATACAATTTTTATTTTTATCTTCATTTTGTTATTGTTTCTTATGTTGTTGACTAATCAAAGCATGATTCATTTTGCAAAATTTTACAAGAAACAATTTGCTTCTCTGAGCACTGTTGCTATTTCCTTCTCTCTTTCTCTCTCTCTCTCTTTTTCTATTCTCCTCTGTAGTCTTTCACTCTGTCTCTCTCAATTCTCAGAGCACCTCGAATGCACTCAAATTCTATTTGTGATTAAAACCATCAAGTGGACTGATATTGTTTCTTTCTTTCTTTGTGTGTTTTTGTGTGTGATCAAAGTATAGACAATTCCTTTTATTTTCATCCATTCTATTATATTATGTTTTGTCGTAATTCGTTTTTTTTTGTTTAGATTTTTTCTTTTATGGAAAATCTCTCAAATGTGTTCCGCTTATTGCATGATTCGTAATTTTTTTTTTGTTTCTCTTCAAATTTTGTTGCGCTTGGTTAGCTGTGTTTTTGGATATGGTTGTATGTGTATGTCGTGTGGGACATCAAAGAAGTTTTCTATTTGGTCGCACATAGTAATTGTCTTCTGTGCAAATGATCGTGCGAATATCCGAGTTATAGTCTCACATTCATCATCAATTAGTCGATGGCAGTGCGTCATCGTTTGTGTGCATCATCAAGAAGAAAGCTTCTTCGTCGTCAGCGCGAGCGCACAAACAGTCTTTTAATGTTAGACACATTGCAAATGAGTTTGGATGAATGAATTTGGTGTTTTTCTAATTCGCATAAACTTTATTCGTAACCTCATTCGAAACGGAATGAAAACTCAATAGGAAAAAAGGTCAAAGGCAAGAAGAAGAAGAGACGAGCACTCATGAAATTGCTCTTAATCGGTGCCGTGTTAAAAGCCAAGATTGAACTTCTACTAAAAATCATCGCCACCCATTTGCAAATCAAATTCTTCGTCGTTGCTGTCATCGGTTTGATTGTGAATATAGCGAGATTCTGGGTGGATTTGAAACGTGGCCAAACGCCACAAAAGGTATGCATCCGCCTCAATCACAATTCACCACCATTTTATTCCAAATTTCACTCAATTTCCAAATTAACCGCATTTTTTCTCTAATCACATAAACACAAAACGATTTCTTTTAGCATTACTACTACGACTACTAACTGTCTTAAATGGCCCACACCAAGCTAACAATCGCTCTTCCTTAGTCTAACCAATATCGTCAAATTCCATTCGAAATACAAATTAAAAAAAAAAAAAAAATAACACATGTCCAGTAGAATAGTATGCCATAACCATATAAACAATAGGCGATAGCCATTTAGACCGTAAGAATGCACTTGGTGTAATAAAACTCACGAGTAATCAAATCGTAGGTGGTTGATTCACACAGAAAACAAAACAAAATAAAATAAAACGCAAAAATAATCATCAACATTGAAAACATGCACTGAAATGCATTTAATGGCCAAAAATGGACATTTACCAGTCCATTAAAATGCTACACAGAAGTAGTACACAAGGCTGACCAATTTTTTTTTCAACCAAATTCTAGAATAGAAAGTAAAACACATCTGTTTAAAGAAAATCATTTCTTTTCATTGGAATCGAAATGTGAATATAAACGATGTAATCTATTTTAAAGCCTTCTGAAATTGGCATTTTTGCATTGACGTAATGAATCAAAGCGAGAAATTATCAAAAAAAAAAAAAAAAAAAAAATTAAAAACACAATACGGGGATAAAAAAAGACTCTTTGGCATAATATAATTTGATGTAGAAAATAAGCCTGAATTCTAAATTCATCATTTTGTCGTCTTACATTAACATCATTTCATATATTTGGATCGAACGTAATAAATACTCAGTCATTTACATTTTACATACGCTTTTTGGTGATCAGAGTACGTAATATGCAGCATAAAACAAAAAATATCGCATTAAATGTTATCATGACAGGCATGGATTTATAACGAAATTTAAAAGGGAGTGTTCCATTCGAGCCACAAAAAAAAATACAAAAAAAAAAAACGGAATCGCACGCAATCACCCACCGAATCGTGTACACAAATTACTCTTGGTTTCGATTCACCAAATTGGTTTTATATAAGAACTTTATGCGTTTATGCCTTTAGGTTGTATACCTCGAAAATGCACATCATCAGCACGTTTACGAAGATAGCCATGACGATAGCTGGGGCAGTTCGGGCAGTTCGGGCAGCTACTGGAAACGATCGTTGCCCATCGAAAATAATAGTGCCGAAAATGTGCCAGTTACATCGAGTTCCGATCGAGTCAATCAGGTTAGCTACAGCACAGCAGTTCGGCAACCGGTCAATGTCAAACAAACGGCCACATATGGTGTCAGCGCCAGTGCTAGCAGCTATCGCCAACCAACAACATATGAAGAATACAATGCGAGTCCACAGCTTGCTCAATACACCGATCCACATAGCATCGTGTACAGTCAACAAATGCCACAACAAACTTATAGCCTTAATTAATTTAAACAACGAACCCAAACAACAGAGAGAAGACATTTGAAAGAAGAAAAAAAAACAACAACTCAATAAGAAGAAATTATATGGGAAAAATTTCACACAATCTAACTGCCCAATTAATCCCGAAAAAATAAACATCAAATCATTTTCTACTGAATTCGTTGATTGGCGAAGCTCGAAAATAAATGATTTCCTTTCATTTACCTGTAACTTAGTGTTAGATATTTATTTATTTATCTATTTTTGTTTTGCTTTGTTCGCTTGTTTATTTATTTAACTAAAATAAAGACAATTTGATACTATGCGTTGCGTTGACATTCTTATCTTCTTTTTTTTTTTGCAGAGATTTTGCTCTTTATATCGCCCTTCTATCTTTTTGCCGGCTTCGAAGCGGTCAAGTCTCTCTTATAGTTTAGATAGAAACGCACACAGAAATAGTAAATTATTTCATAAAATGAGATTGCCGAAAAGCCAATGAATAGACTGTAGATGCCACCCAGGTTAGCTTCGGAAGAAATTGGAAGAATTTAAGCATAAAACATGATCCAAGTAAATTCTAAATAACCAACCAGTTAATGACAAGACATTTGTAGCAAGTTCCTTTTGAATGGCTTTGAACACTTGCTTTCCAAACGAAATATGGACGACCAGATGCTCTTCAGAAAGATCTCGGCTGAAAACAATTATTCATCATTTCAATTAGTATATTTTTAAATTAAATTTCGGCTTTAGACATTTTTTCACTAGAAAAAAAAAACCCACTAAAATGAGCCAACATCAAAATAATTTGGCTGTAATCTTGATTGGCTTGTAACCGCCTGATAAGATATTTCCACACAATTCGGCATACACTCACAATTCTTCGTATCATTTTTCTCCTGATTGTATGTCGACCCTAAAAAAAAAGCATGTTCCAATTGAATTCTCTTGAAATGAAAAAAATGATTAAAAAGAAACAAAAAGTTTATGACGTAAAAATTAACAAAAATTCACTCTGGCCAATATCAATCAAAATTGTATATTTTGTTGAAAATTCGGTTTTTTTCTTCTTATTTTTCATTCAAAACACTTACAATATTTGTCAGTCAAACATTTGATATCTAAAAAATCGCAAATTTTCGTCGATTTGGAGTACATGGAGAAGTAGTATGGCAAACAATGGCATGCACTTTCAATTTTAGTCAGAATACATTCCAGTTTGCAATTCAATTCTCTGTATTCGGCAAAGTATCTGAAAATTAACACGGTTCAATTTTTCGCGTTCATATATTTTCTCATGGAAGAAATGATAATAAAAAGAATTGCTAGATTTACTTCAGTTGTCTTTCCCATTCATATAAGCAATTTCGTTGATCGATCGGTGTTTGGCCAACATCTTCTGAGCACATATTTACTTCGGGTATTATGTCAATCCAATTCTCGGTTGACCGTGCCAACGTACTTTCAAATAAACTCGTGCTCGCCGATGTATTCGATTCATACACTAAAAATCGTGCCGATTCCGATGATATGAATGTTTTGGGACTGGGTCGCAGTAACAGCGACATTGATGTTCGACCATCGGGAGCCCAAGAATTGCTGCAAGAAGACAACATTGATTGGTTGTGATAAATATTTTGGCTTTTGATTTTAGATCGAGAGTGGTGAATGGGAAAGTGGCTCACTTATAATAACTTCTTTTATTAAATATGCAGCAAAGACCATACTGACTGGTCGATGGTTGAAACAAATCCGAACAATTGATGGGTTTGCCTTCAAAACGGCATCGCACAAATACATCATCGCATGACGTCTGCACCATATCCATTACATTTTGAATCAAATACCGATTTGTATCCACAATATTCTGAAGGACCTTTAACTCATTTACATCATAGGCAATGGTTGTGAAAAACCCAGACGATTGTTCAAACATTCGGCTTATATTCTCACGTGAATGTTCAAACTTACTGAAAACATTCTTTTTTTTTTTAAACTTTTTTATTCCTTGGAAAAAATTTCTCTTTTGATCATATGTGTCAATTATTGGGCTTACATTGTATCCATGAATATTGAAAGACGATGCGAATCAATGTGAGTAATTGGACAGAACGCAATTTTTGGTAATCTCAGTGTTGGCAATGGAAGATGATTCGAAGCAACTGTCATTCTGGTGGAATTACTCTTGTAACGCAACCAAAAATGTGCAACCAAAATATTACAAAATATAAAACTCAAAATCAGTATTAAACTCCAGAAAACCCTGCAAAGTTGGAAGAAAATTGAATCAAACTGAACATAAAAAATTCCAACCAAATATTTGAATTCTCACTTGATTGATGTTGCTCGTTCGCTTTGCACATACTTCAATCCGGTTATACTTGAAACGCTAATGTACTCATTGGTAGTTTTGAGTAGACACGTTTTAAACGTGGATTTGCTGGACTTTTGATTTGTTTCCTTCATATTTAATGCCTCTGTTATATTCGCTGGAATAATTTCAACTGAATGCAATTCTCAATCCAGACTCGGTATTCCATTTGCATCGCGCTTTTTGATTATGACACCTAAGTCTTGTCATAAAATGTTGATAGAAAATATTCAATGTTGTGATAATAGTTGTCGAATGAAGAATTTCAGTACTACACGTACGATTTTTGTAGGTTCTAGGACGATTTTTGGTGTACCTCATGAATATTTAAGCAGATATCTTATTCATTTTCGAGCCATACAAATAGAGAAAATGATTCATGTATCGAAAATAATTATATGTTGTGCAGGACATGCGTATATAAAGCACGACAATCATAATTATCCTAGATCAGTGCATACACTTCACCTTTGGAAATCGATATTTAACGATTTTATACGATTTTTTTCAAATATTTATCGATGTTTAACGATGAATTAGATTTCATCTTTCGTTTGACATTGTAATAATATTTCCATTCCAATAAATAAAAAATATGCATTTGGGAATTTTTTTTTTACATCTCATAGTTGACATGTTTATTTATTTTTTGTCAGCTACTAAGATATGGATAAATTCTATCCGATAAACACACTTTTTTTTTCTTCATTCCATTCAACAAATATAAACCAGTGCATAATTTTTCAAACATCAGCACAAACATATAGAGAAAAAAAAAGACTTTTTTATAATAATAAAACCAATTACATTGGTATGATAATGGCCACACGTTGCTAATTACACAAAATATATCATTTGAATATGTTCAATCGATTTAACTTGTTATTAATCACGGCCTAATTTGCTTGAGTAGTGGAAGGTACAATTTAGATCATTTGGTATTTTTTATAGCAGCCGGTGTGAAATACATGGAATCAATGAAGCATCGAGTGATTTCTGCTACCAACGATCGATCGGATAGGGTTTGGGCCTGTCCATACAACGCCATCTAATGCAAGAATATTTTTGACAATATGATTAACCAACATTGCCCACTGAATTGAAGTGTATATATTTTATTTTTCTATTGTATACCTTTCCTTCGATGGGTTTCTCGGGATTTTTCATTAGTTCGGCTACGGCGGCTGTAACATCCTTGATGAACTGATCAGCCATGCCATCCATTGTATGCATCATCGTAACGCAAATATGAATTCTGAAAATATTTTTTTTTATTTTTAACCATTTCTGTTTTGATTACAGTCAAAAATCGTCCCAGTTCTTACCCGGACGGAAATTGAAGTGTGTTCAAATTCCAACCAATTGAACACAATGCATCCGACAATCGAAGAATATCAAAGTCACGCGAACCAATTGCGATCACAGATGTAGCGGGTGTACCAAAAATATAAATACCCTTGATTTGACGCAAGTAACGCTCAATGTAACGCGTTGTGTCTATAACTCGTTTTGTGGCCTCAACATAGCCATCGATGCCAAAGTGGAGCATCGTTGCCCAGCAAGCGGCAATCGAACCACCAGCTCGGGAGCCATTCACTGTTGGCGAACCATATACACCACCCGGCCAATCCGTTGTCATTGTATATTGATGGTGACGATACTTTTTGTGTGAGTACAAAACAATGCTGCAACCCTTTGGCGTGAATCCATACTGTGTGTAAGTGGAAATTGAGAAAAAATTTACACATTTTTTTTAACATGAAATTTGAAATTATCAGAGAAAAAATAAATATGGTCTTTTTAGAAATTGGCATTGTCAATTGGCTTCATAGTTGCCAATGCTTGGAAATTTTCTAAATCAAAATGATGAGGTTAACCTTGGATTTACGAAAGAAAAAAATTCAATGAATTTTGTTTTTCATTTTTCTTCCATTGTGGTTGAAAGAAAAAAAAAACCAACCTTGTGCGGATCAGCTGATATGCTAGTGACTCCTTTAACGCGGAAATCGAATGGTGGCAGTGGATAACCAGCTCGTTTCATGAACGGAATCAGAAATCCGCCCAAACATGCATCAACATGTACTGGAATGTTGTGTTTCAAACCGAGAGCGGCAATAGCTTGAATGTCATCCATTGTTCCATAGGGGAAGTTTGGTGCAGAGCCAATGAGCTGAATAAATTGGGAAAAAATGTTAATTTTAGCACAAACAAAATTTCACTCTGAAAAAAGCGACATATTTTTATACGCAAAAAAAAAACGTGAAGAAAAAATGCTTCGTCTCAAGAAAAAAAATTTTCTATAAATTGTACGCGTATCAAACCATACCATGACAGTGTTTTTGTTGATTGCTTTGGACATTCGCTTAATATTGACTTTGGTGGTGACGGGATCAATGTCCACATAGTTGACGTGAATGTTAAAATACTGCGCCGCTTTGTCGAATCCAACGTGGGCGGTGCGTGGCATTACAATATTTGGTCGATGAATTCCGTTGATCTCTCGGCCATAATCACGGTATGCTTTGCAGGCCATGATCAATGATTCCGTTCCACCGGTTGTCATCTTGAAATTTAAGCCATTTTTGTTATTTTTCATTTCCCAAAAATAAAATTCAATCAAAATTCTTACCGTTCCAACAGTTTCATCGTCACCGTTGAACATAACGGCGCACATTCGAACCACTTCAGCCTCCATTTTATTGATACCGGGAAAAATATCTGCATGCAGTGGATTGGTGTATGCCGTTTTCTTGTACACATTTGAAACTAATTCGCACAGTTCGTCATTGAAATTGTAAACAGCACCTGAAACCCGGCCCTCTTTCCATTTGTATTCACCAAGTGACAAATACTTATCGATATGCTCGAGCAATTCATCGTTTGACAGTCCAAGCAATGGCAGTGTTGTAAAGTATTCCAAGTGTGCGGTTCTCTCTCGAACGGTTTTTTCCATTGAATCGGACACTTTGGCAATTTCATCATCGATTTTACGCTGAATTGCCGGCACCATGCGAATCAATTTGAAAAACTTTTTTTTTGTCCGTGAACTGATTGCTAAAATGAATACAGTAGACGTATTTAATTTAACGTTAATTAGAATATGTGTAATGGAATTTGCTTACTTTCGTCATGGTTGATCTGTTCCCAAATCCATATTGTGGTCATTAACGAAACAGCTGTGATAGATGCCACTTGCCATGGTTCTTTGTTTGCAAATAATGCATTCACTTGTCGTGTAATGCCACTGAACCAATCACAAGATTTGTACATATTATGTTCTCTGTTTTGCGCTTCTATTCAGTTTTCTGAGACTGAATCGATTTGGACGAGGGTGTGATTAACCTGCGATAGTGTCTCAAAAATGTGTAGATGTTTACGTTGATAATCGGTTGCTCTGATTTCTTATCACATTCAATTTATCAGTTCAAGTTGAATGACTATCGAAAAAATAGGCTTGGGTTTTGTACTTTGACTTTCATTTGGCACTTCATAAAATTACACGGTTACTTTCAATCATCAGGCTTGTTTTTTTTTAAGGTCTGCTATTATATAGTTATTTCTTCTTTTTTTTTGTTTAGTAAATAAAGTAATCAACTTAAAAAAGAAATTATGATATATTTTCACTTTGGTGTGAATGTACACAGTAAGTGAAATGTCAAACCGAACATTGTGTTTGAATTGTCATTCGGGTGCGTCAAATATAGGCGATGATTCATATTGGATTACCGTTTTTGGACATACTGCTGAAATTCAACACTCACACATTATGGCTCGTGCATACACTTACATACAAACGATTTTTTTTTTTGTCGTTGTTGTTGATATTCAGAAGAGAAAATTGAAACAGAAACAGAATTAAAGTACAATGAACGTCTATAATCTATTCTATATACGCAACGCATCTGATGAACGCACCCAAATATTTTAAAATTTAAACTTTACGTTCAAAATACTATACGATTGACTACAACCAGCAAATCCAACTGGATTCGATTCGATTTTTTATTTGAATACTTAACATTGAATTTAAACTAGGATTCGATATTAGTATGAAACACTACCATACATATCAAGATGACTAACCGCTCAAATCCATTGGTCAAGCAATGAACTCACCATGAACTTCATGAATCATAGTATAAAGTCGTTTTTGTTGATAAACATCCATTTTTTATGTTACATCCACAAAAAAAAATTGTGATTTTACCCAGATAAGCAAGTGATGCATTCTGATACTGTAATTCAAATGTGATACGAAATGAGCATGAAATTTTTACGATGAAATTTTATTTAATAATTTTTATCATAGATAATTCGTATGAAGAGCCTTTCTATGTACTCGATACTCACATTTAAAATGAGAAAGTGCATCCTCTTTAGCACACCTAATGCGAAAAAAAATAAAGAAGAAATATCTCGTTTTTGTTTCATATCACAAAGAAAAACCATTTAAAAATTTGTTGATATTTCATTCATTTTTATTCTTGCAGTCAAATGTCCAAATGCGACCGAATAACCGGAATAACTGGATATATACATCTGCATTCCTTCTTATTATCTCCGATGCTTTTACAATCAGCCAAAGTATATATGAGACGATAATGCTTATTTTGTACGTTTCGAATGAAAAAAAAAAAAAAAACAAAATCAGCCACCAATTAACATAGCGATGCATACGACGACTTTGTTGGCTCCGTTGAAACGTTTGAACAGCAATATCGAATAATTAATTAGATGTGATTGCGGCAAAAGTTGCATGTGAATGATGTGCATATAGTGTTGAATTGCCAAAGTATACCTAACCTCTTTAAGGCTATGTCTGACCGCAATGTGAACATATGCTAGAAGCTTCAATATTACAAAAATTCAAAACAGACAAAGCCAAAGAGAGGCTAAATATCCATGGACCCTCGTTGCTGCACCGTTGGCCAAATATTCTATGTTGACAAGACGCACACGTGCACATACAGTGTTCCAAAAATCCAACATTAAATTTAGTCATCTGGAATTGCGATCGGCACGGTGAAAATGCGTTGAAAGCAATTCATTCAGCAATGTTGTGGCTGAAAATCAATGAACCATATCAACGCTCACCGAAATTTGCTCAATTTTTTCTCGCACCTTTCATCAACACCGCATCTAACATACTTCAATGTCGAAGCATCCAAAATTGCAACCGATATGATAACCGTATGTAATTTTTAAATTCACTGAAAAATTTTTTTTTGTCATCGCCAAGTACTGGCTGAATAAAGTAGAGGTTTTGCGCGAAGGAAAATAAAACTCAATTCCATTTCCAATTTTTTTTTTCTAACGAAAATCGCTTACAAGAAAATTGTGCAATATAAAACCGAATATGTGTTGGTCTCACTTCGAATTCAATTCACTTGACTAAAAACTTGATCGAAAATGGCAGAGAGTCGATTTGTAACTGTGATTACCCGCCCATTTCCAAAGCGTGTAGTCGCCGATCTGTTGAGCCACGACCAATTTTATACACTATTCAATGACACACACTGCGCGCGCGAATGCTTATGCGCGCACCACAAAGACACGCTGGCAATAATATCTTGCGCAGAATTGTTTCGCTCAGCGATCGCGGCGGCGGCGGCGGTTATATCAAATTCTGCGTTTGCAGTCGGCAGCACTTCTTCGTGAGTAATGAGTAATAAGAATGTGTTAGCTGAAGACAAAATTCAAGAGAATGAACCGAAACGAGAGAGAGAGAGAGAGAGAGAGAGAGAGAAGAAAAAAAGCCGAAAAAAGATTTGCATAAATGTTATGATGTAGCTAACCGCTTTCGATTTCAATTTGGAGCGATAGAGGAAAAGAGACTTGATTGACCTTGGCCGTGATTAAATTGTTTTTCTTTTCTATAGCTATATCGCGCTTGAATCACTCGATATCAACTTGAAAACAAAAAATTAAGAAAAAAAAATCTCATTTATATTTTGCTTGTTATTCCAGGAGACGAAACTCAAATTCCAATGTAAATGCAAAGCAAACCACAGAAAATATAAAACAACGCAACACAACGAAACAATTCAACGAAATCCGCAACTGATTATTCTAGCTCTTCGTTTTTTTTCTGCCGAAAACAACAAATAAAAAAAAAACACAATCTCGTCGGTCGAATAAAATTCAAATTTAATTTATCCACTCCACAGCGTAGCGCAGCGCAGTGCATTGATCAAAAACTTGCAACAAAATGGAATTTCGCACTTTGCGTTTTCGGGTCTTATTTGAACATCACGACCTTGACGAAACTATCTTATACATATTTAAAAGGTGTGTATGATATCGTATACATTTGTCCACGATACGAAAAAAGCAACGAAGAAATAACAAAAAAAAAAAATGAACCAACACCACCGACCAACGAAAGACAGGAAAAAAAGACACTCAATGGATAAAAAGGAAAAAAAAATATTAATAAGTGTGAATATATGTAAAAAAAGGAGAGAGAGCTATTGCATTTGGTATATATATTTTCGCTAAAGAGATCGTCGCCGTACACAGCGGGCAAAACACTACTCACAACCACATGTAGATTTGTTGTTTTTTAAATGCAAGAAAAATAAATGAAGACAGCAAATAAGAAAAAAAAAAAAACAGCGGCAGCAGCAGAAACAACACAAAAACCGAACATCAACACTTGGTGGATACGGTGAAAATGGGTTGCATATGAATGTATATTTACAAAATGAATAAAAAATATATAAATTTTTGTCGTCCACATTCGTCGCGCGATCATATTGGTTTGGTTTGGTGGTGGTGGTGGTGTTGGTTGTTATTGTTTTGTTCTTTCTTTCTTCATTCGTTTTTAGACAAATCATTTTTAGCGGATGGTATGCACATAGGATCATGGCAAATATCCAAATGACAGTTAATACTTGACGAGGTAATTGTGATAATATGTGAACGTCTTTGTTGTCTCGTTTGGTTTTGGTTGTTGTTGTTTTTTCATTCGCTTTTTTTTATGGGCATTTCAGTGTGTCGGACGATGCGATTTAATCTGTGAATTAATTGTTACCGAAAAAATATCACACAAATAGCAGACAGTTTGCATTTCCAGTTTCATGCGCGCATATATTATTTCGCGTATGTGTCGCGCGCGCTCTTTCTCTCTCTCTCTCTCTCTCTCTCTCTCTCTCTCGCTGCGGCCGCATATATACTCATCGACTAGCAAAAGTAAATGTCCGCAAAAGGAAGGAGAATGACATCATGAATACCAACCACACCACGATGGCGGCACGAACGAGCCAACTCTATTCGAACTGTGATGTTGTTGTTGTTGTTGTTTTTGCTTTGCTTTGAGTGTACGGGCGCGCGCGGCCGCTCACGCGCACGACAATATTCAACAAAATGTCAAAGACCACAAGAAACCAATCACATAATAATTTCACACGTATGTACTTGTACATTTCGATGCGGCTCAAATGTTTGCGCTCAACGTCGACGGCCCACACAAACCAAATGTTCTATTCTTTATGAATGGCAAACGCAAATCCATACCGAACACTATATCGATCCGCGTTTTCTTCTCTTCTCTTCTGTTTTCTTTTTCTCGTCCAAAACAATAGACAACAACTCTAACACCTTAAATGCTGCTTTCAAATCGATCATTATATCGCACTCTTTTTTTTCCTATGTCTTTTTCCCCAATTCATATTCGATTGTTAGCATTATATCAAGATATCGTTGCATCGTTAACTCCTTTCCATTTTCAAAATTACACGCTGCACATTGCATTTTAATTGTGAATCGCCTCGATTTAGTGTTAGATTTAACACAACTTGACATTCAAATAATATGCTATTTCTGGGTGATATTTAACCATGCAAACGATTGCTCGTTAAACCAAAGAGAATCAAAAAGATGTCGTTCAAGTTTGTTTGCTAAACTCTTTAACGTTTTTTGAAAAAAAAAAAAAAAACACAAGATTTGCATATCTAGACATGGTGATAAACATATGAACATTCATCTGCTATTTTCACTTCTCATTGTTCTCGTCCGGTGATTGTTGTGTTTTTTGGGCATTTCGATTGGATTGCAGAGGTCAACACCGATATTAAACCGATGCCATACATTTCAAACACGAATTGCATTTGCATCTAACACATAGATGCCATCTATTTGTCTGCATTACACAATTGGATTCCCAACAATGCCGACCAATTACCACTTGAGTTTGGTTTTCGTTTCAATCAATACTTTCGAATATTCTTGAAACGGTTTATAGAAAATATGGAACTGTAGGCGTTGCCATGGCTTGATGCATTAGATGCATCTTTGAAAAAGTAGAAACATTTTGATTTGTTCTCTTTAATATCCCATAAAATTCCATCATGACGCATTTTTTCCTCGTATGTTTTTCATTCAGAATGGAATTTTTTCTCTTTGAAATATTCGATTCAATTGCAATCTGTGTGCGCGAGCTAAAATTTTGAAAGCTTGCCGCCTGCCCGAGCTCCAATCACCGCAAGAACTGATATGGCAACATTGAACTTCTCACAGCGGTGTACATTGTTTGATTTTTGTGAGGCCGATGCGGTAACGATGGCAACACTAGCATGACATTTCAAATGTGTCAAAACTGTAGAAAACACATATTATTCAACCGAGCAGCCAGTGAAGTGAACAAAAAGAAGGCAAGCAAAACAACATACACACAAAATAATGCGGAATCGAGAATTTTTGACTCAGAATTAAGAGATTATACATAATTATAGAAAGTTCTTAAAGCACGGGGTAAACAACCACATCGTTTTCTTTCATTTCTTGCACTTATCAAAGAAAAGAAATTCGATTGCACTGAGTGTGTGTGTGTGTGTGTGTGTGGGTGTGTGTGAATGGTTTTGTGAATTATGGATTCAGTGACATGAGTACATCAGATGTTTATTGATTCATATTGACCGATTTGTTGTGGTTTTTTTCCTTCATGCTATTTTTTCATTCATACAGCTGTGAAATCGGCTAGGCTAAAATGTGTGTATGTGTCTGTTTTAGTTATCACTACACTTTACGTTTCGTTCGCATCATAAAATAATCAACAAACAATCGATGAACTTCGATTTTGCAAATGCAGTAGCCGAGTAATCTTATCACCGCACACGCAACTACTACTAATTTCCGCACTCATAAATAATTACGTAAATTGTGCGCAAATTTCAGAATGAATTGAACGATTGTTGAGTTCGGCGGTCGCATTTAAATCGAAGTGTGAAGTTGTTGTGTGTGGTTCAGTTGTTTTTTTCTTTTAAAGATATATTCTTTTCTTTCTAACTCTACAGTTAGAGTGTGACAAAATGGTATCGGGGTCGGAAAGCATTCTGGGTCGGATGGCACTATCCGTTGGAGCAACAGAGCCAGCCCTTAGACTGTTGATCTCGATTATAATCGGTAAGAGGCTATTTTACATTACCAAATAGATTTGCGGGCAAAAAAAATTTTGTTCTTGAATTTCGGTGTCATCGTTGGATGCAGTGCAAACAAAATTATGGAAATGACAAAATCTCCTTGACTTGCTTTAGTTTTGGCTCATTGAAAATGAAATTATACATATTTCGATCGCCTTGAAACCAAACCGAAACAGTTTGCTTCTTCTATTGTCGCAATTCGTGTTATTCTATTCTCGTCCGTTTGAATGTGCGTGTTGTTTTCGTAAAATTTCTAAGGCGCGCAAATTGTTCTCTCATCGCTGCCACCTCACACCCTTCACATGTGTGTGTGTGTGTGTGTGTGCCATTATTTGTATTTGTTCCGTATCATGACCGAACTACACGTTTTAATGTGTGTATTGTGATTAAATAGTTATATCATGTATAAAAAACACATCGTACGTTTTATTACGTTGTAGTTTCGTCAGCACCACGTTGAGCCACCGAAAGCATTTAAATTACGCTACTTGCATTTATCATAAGCACACACAATTAAGTGATATGACGAACTATCATGTGGTTGGTTCGACCATACTGTGTATGTATATTGATTGTATATATTGATACAATGTCAAAGAAAACAACATCACGCCCAGCATACACATCGCGGCGCATGGTGGTCGAATGAACCTCACACGCAATCATCATTTTTCCGTTCATCAAACACCGGAATGATATTGATAACGATAATTCTGTGACCGCTACATGTTTCCTTGTTTTTTGTTTGTCTTTTTTTTTTTCATTTCTTACACACTTTAGGTTATCCTTTGGCAATACTCTATCGAAGGAACATTTATTCGCAAAGCAAAACAATCAATCACCTGTATATATTCGGTACGGGAATGTTAATATGCTTATTCAATTATGGGTGGCTATTTTATCACAGTTTGTCCGCTGTTTTGGTGTCCTACGGACTAATCGTACTATTGAATGGAACACCATTGGTGGTGACGACATTCGTCGTTCACATGACTTATCTGTTGGTTGGTTACTATACAACAGCTACTGAAACCTATGACATCACATGGACGATGCCACATTGTGTGCTGACATTGAAACTGATTGGTCTTGCATTTAATATTGCCGATGGTCAGCGACCCGAATCCGAACTATCGGCCACACAGAAAAAATTAATGGTCAAAGAAAAACCGAGCCTACTTGAAGTGGCCGCATTTACTTATTTTCCCGCCAGTTTTCTGGTCGGTCCACAATTCTCATTTCGACGATATCTCAGCTTTATTAATAAGGAGTTTGATAAGCATGACGGCTACTTGATGGCTGGTGCCAAACGTGCTGCCGTTGGAGCGTGTTACTTAATCGTCAATGTTGTCGGTTCGGGCTATTTGAATGACAAGTATGTGATATCAAGTGACTTCACCAACAACCATGGTATTGTTACGCGACTCTTTTTGGTTGCATTGTGGGGACGCATTACTTTATACAAGTATATATCGTGCTGGCTGCTCACCGAATCCGTTGCCATTTGCTTTGGTAAGTTTTTTTTTTTTTGTTACGGTTTTCTTTGGACTTTTTTTTAAACTTGTTTTTTTCTTGGGTTTGTGTTGATAATTTCCATATTTTCTTTTCAAATAGGAATTACATTTAATGGTGTCGACGAAAAGGGTGTTGCCGATTGGTCGGGATGCTCCAATATTAAGTTGCTTGTGTTCGAGGTAAGTAGTTGTACAATTCGGCTGAGATGGATTATTAAATGTAAAAAAAAAAATTTAAATCCAAATTTTCTTTTTGTAGAATACAAAACGGTTCCAGCATTACATTGACAGTTTCAATGTGCAAACAAACTATTGGATTGCCGAATATGTCTATAAGCGACTTCGGTTCTTAAACAATCGCAACTATAGCCAGTTGGGTGCATTGGTTTTCCTAGCGCTCTGGCATGGATTCCATAGTGGTTACTACATTACATTTGCCATGGAGTTCGCTGTGATCATATGCGAACGAGAGGTAAACACACTTTTTATCTTCGATTTTTTGTAACTGTAAATTATTAATTCAAATCAAGTTGAATTGGATTTGATTTAATTGTTTTGTTTGTTGAACCGATGAGTTCAATGACAAAAAATTTAATTCATATTGATTTGAGTTGAAGTGACGTTTTATTCATAATAATTGAGCCAAAATGTGAATTGAATATCAGTCGATTTAATTTTTTTTTTATTTTTCTCTGTCTTTTTTATCTGCAGATGGAACCCGTTTTCTCTCAAAGCGAAAAGTTTGCCAACTTTGCGAATACTTTAGTGGGCAAAGTGATAATATTTATTCTGTTAAAATTGTATACATTTATTGGTATGGGCTACTGTTTTGCTCCATTGGTGCTGCTTAGTTTCAGCAAATGGTGGGCCTTACACTATTCACTCTGGTTCTATGGATACCTTTTATGGCTGCCATGGCCCATTTACAAGCCACTGTTGAAACAATTATTAGGAACAAAAAAAGCTGAACGCAAAAAGGAGTAGTATTTTTAAGCTATGCTCTTTTTTTTATGCTCGCATATAAATACTATGTTGTGCACAGTACAATAAGATTCGAAGGAAAAGAAAATATATGAACAAAAAAAGACAAACTGCAATCTCATAAATGCAAAATTAACTACAATCGCCTCGAAAGAAAACAAAACATTGACTGTAAATGCTATTTTTGCAAACAATTGAACGAAAGAAATGAGAAGAAGATAATAAAAGCCAGAACATCAAACAAATCATGTGACTAAACAATATGCTGCCACATGGAGATTTAAAACGAAAACAACAACAAAAAAACGCAAAATAATATAATTCTAAATTCGTAGATTGCCTAGTAAAACGTATGAAACGAGAACCGAGCACAAATCATTCAGTTTTCTTATTGAATGGCAACGATGTAACACACTATTTATACAAGAAAATGTAATAATTTTTTTTTAATCCTAGATTCCTCATGTCAAGAAATGCGATTGACATAAATCGGAGAACAATCAAATCCATTGTTTAAAAGTGTCAAAAATTTGTCTAACGTGTGTTCCAAATAATTTATTTTGTCAAATTGTTGTTTTTGCACACATTTTTGTTTATAATACGACAACCACATGATGTACACCAACAGTGCAAAAAATAAAATTATAGAGGACACCTTGAAGAACAAAAATGTATTTTGAAGCAATGTGATACGACGTACGGTTTACGTTATACAGGCGTTCAAGTGTTGCCCGTCTAGAGGCGGTTGTATGCATTAGAGGGTTAATGTGAAAATGAACATAAGTAAACAACCGAAAAAAACACAAGCAACAAATGGATAACTTTTGCTTTGCTTTTATTTAATAGCGACAAACACTTTGAGCCAGCACCAAAAATGCTAATTTATGAATGACTAACGAATTATATACTGCTAGCGTTTCTAACTTAATTCAATTTATTCAATAGACATTGCTATTCTCTCTCTCTCTCTCTCTCTCAAGTTTTTTGTCATATTCACTCACATTGATATGAATTTTTTGAACAAGCAATTCAAACTTATGTAATTGTTTTTTTTTTACCTCCGTTTCAAATCGTTGGAGTTTCAAGTCAGTTTAAACCAAAAATGAAAAAATCTTACTATTTGGAAATAAATATCCTATTGTTAAGCTAAACACATTTTTCGCTCTCGTCAACAATAAAGTGATTTAAATTTTTTGATTCTGAACAATCCAGTTCCATCAATCCTTAAAGCTTCTTTGTAAAAAGTGTCCAGGATGGGAGAATATGACCGCCACTCACCTTCAAAATAAGCCAAGGTAAGCAAATGTGATATTTTGTTTGGCGACTCATAGCAAAATTGATTGTTGAATTGAAAAAAATGGTTCTGCCGTAGGCTAATTTTTGTCAATAATTTCTTTATTTGTGGTTAAGATTTGCTAATTCAACAATAATCGACAGAACCATCGTCTCATTAATCAATAATTTAATTGAAAGGATCACATTTTTGATTATCTTCATTAGCAAACCATATTTTTCTACTAAATTCTTCTCCTTCTTCCTCAATTTAATCACCGTTGATCAACAATTTCATTAAAAAAAATTGATTTAAAAAAAATTGGAATAGCAAATCATTCAGCCGAAAAATATATATATATATTATGTGTATCAGTTTCATTCGTATAGTGTGTATTCATTTTCCATTTCGTTGTATCGCATCATTTCATTCTTTGCTCATAAAAATTTAATCTTGTGAATGTGACAAAATCTGTTGTTGTCACTGACATCCTATCATCAATTCCAAATGAAATTCACTCGATAAGAGAGAATGTGCATGTGTTTCTGTTCGTTTCTACAATATTTCCAACCCATCATCGGCCCATCGCGAAAATGTAAAAGTACAGATAAATCCCGTGTATCATCTCCACTTTTATTGTTTTTTACATTGAAGGGCGTTGCACGCACCTTAACATTCACAATACAAACTCAATGCGAGTGGAGATGCCTCATGAAAAATGGCACAGATTGCTAGTGCTAAGGTTTATCTGTACTTTCACAAGCATTGAATTTGAAGTCACACTCAATAATGCATTTGATATTCCGTATTTCTTTCAAACGTTTTATCGTCACCATAGCAATATATTTTATCTCGTACCTTGAATGTCGTTGAATGAATATTCGGTTTGTATTTATTGAAGTGGCGAATTCTTCTGAGGAGGCGAGTAAGTATTTTGAAATGATCTGCTGAATAGTTTGTATCAATATAAGTTTTAATGCCTATTCATTCCGCTGAATTGACAGTTTTTGCGTTGAATTTTTTACATAGTAAGGAATTTAATGACTTGATTTCAATTATGTATTCTAAGTCAGAGTGTGTTATGAGCTGATGTCAGCAGCACTAACTGACATCAGCTGCTGATATCAAATCTTGAGGGGAATATGAATTTTGAACTGTGGATGCGTTACAATAACGCAACGCATATTCGTTAGCAGCTGATATCAGCAGCTGACGTCAGTTAGTGCTGCTGACATCAGCTCATAACACGCTCTGATTCAAGTTGCTGCTGTTTTTTCGTCATTCACTTACAGGAAGCCCTTACAAACAACAAATTTTCTACAGAGTAGATTTTGATTACGGTCTCTCCGATAAACACTTGGTTTTAAACGAATAACAAAACATGCTCTGGATTCGTTCAACCATTATTTACAATGATAAGTATCATCATTAATAGAAAAAAAAACATTCTTAACATATTACCATTTTATATAAAACCATTCAACGGCGGCAAGATTTTTTTTTGGTGCCCTCAAAATTTCAAATTTTGAAATATTATCTGAAACAGAAAAAAATGGAGCCGCCTGCGGACTATATGATTCCATGTGTTGTTCCTTACTTCCTTAGTCTTATTCTATGTGTACTTTGCTTAAATCGTCAACAAAACGCATGGAGTATTTCTCTGTTTTGCTTTATAAGGTGATTATAATGCAAAAGTTCGTTATAATTCTGAAACCTTATATTGTGCAGATGAAGATTTTTATCCGTAACTGCGATCCTTATAATCGAACACTTTCACCGATACGGATATTTATTTGCATCGGTATTTGTGAGTCATGAAAAAAAGTATGAGTTAACCGTACCACGAGCAATCTGTGTCATTTTTCATAGGGCGCCTCCAGCTCCACTCACATTAAATTTGTATTATGAATGTGAAGGTGCGTGCAGCGCCCTTCAATTTAAAACCAATACAAGTGGAGGATTGGAGGATGGCACGCGGAGTTTACTTGTACTTTCACAAATAAACAAAATTATTTGTCCCCGAACGGTTAATATTTCTAATCTGTGGTAGTGATGACAGTGACCCCAAAGACGATACGGCTTATTTGGATATGGAATGAAAGATTATTCACGCTGTAGCAGAGTGAAATTGAAGGAAAAATCATGACAGGATTTCACTCACTCCAGAAAATTTACTACCCGAGTAAAATGTTATAAGTGATTGTTTCTCTTGATGTTTCAATGCATTAAAATTGGCAAAAATGTGCATTGCTTTCTTACAGGCTGTGTATTCAGTGTTATTTGGGATTATCATCAGATCTAAAGGAAAAGAAAACAATTATCAGAAATTCGATTTAGTTCAAGGTTACGATTGTCTGAATTGAATCGTTTGCGTCGTCCACTTCGAGGCATCTCTTCATGTGATATAATAATATTTTTATTTTTGTTACTGCTTTGTGCATATTAAAGTGACTTTGTATGTCCAATTTTCCATCGTGGATGCAATTATTTTCGATTTGTATAATACAGTGTGTGTCTGGGATTGCCGAGAGCCATTCTTTTCAATTCTTTTGATGTCGATTGATAATTGTTATTGTTATTGAATGTTGGCCTGGAAGTTATTAGACTGACTCCGTTTCAGAAGGAATGGTATATGGTAAATGTGAATATTGAATGAATTGAAGCAGTTCCTTTAACCTTGAACTCGAGAGTCAAATACTCCAAATGATTTAATGGTTATGAATAAATTAAATGGATCGAAATCCGATGAAATTGTGTAGATGCATGATGCGACTGTGTTACTGAACAGAGGGAGAGCGTGAGAGAGTGAGAGAGAGAGAGAGAGAGAGAGAAAGAGGGAAAGGGAAAGCATGAGGGAGAGAGAGCGTCCGCCAGACTGTGCGTTATTTCCAAGGAGCGAAGAAAATAGACTGGACTATAATTGTGGATGGATATTATATATGAGCGGCTGAGAGAGCAGTTTCGTTTAAAATCTGTTAATGTATCACTTAAGCACGTAATAAATGTACATTTATTCGTATATGCATATGAATGATTGTTTATGCCTGACCGTATGTCAACAGGTGGCGTCAAAAAAATAAACTCAACCATAATAATATTTCAATGTGACATTGAAACACATCTCTGTCGCATGAAAAACGCTCCAAATTGGCACTAAAGTTGCTTATTTTTATTGGCAGTTGCATTGTGAATTATAGCTTTATAGCTAAAAATGATCCCAAAGCATTTTCGACTTTTTTTTTTCTTCTTTCGTCGTGAGTATGGATTGGAAAATATACGTGAGCGTTTCCTTATTTTTTTGAGATTTCTCTTCCTCTCCCCGCTCATTGTCGCATGCGTCTATGTAATACAAAATTATTTCTAAATAAATCACATACAAAAAAAGCCAAGCAAGATCTTGTTGCTCTTGAATTGTGCAAGTGATGAAAAGGAAAGCAAAAAAAAAAAAAATGAACAATAGCTTCCCCTTCGTATCGTCCAGGCCAAAATAAGTTGTGCGCACACTCACACATGCTCAACTGTTGAGCGCGATTCGCCCCGCTCAATCGCTCAGCGGTGGCAGCAACGGAGCTTTGAAAGCGCTGCACGAAAAATACCAATTGTTGCATATATTCAACAACTTATTACGATAATTTCTTAGTTTGCGGTTGGTGAACATGACAGAAAGAAGTATCTATGCCAAGCAATTTCTCCGTTGGAACTATGTTGCGCGTCTATGCTATGAAAGCATCACACGGTTTCATTAAATTCTGCTGCTGTGTTTTCGCTCACCTTCTTGCCTTTATATTTTCGCTTCGAATTTCGATCTTCTACACAGGGGTCACACACTGTTTCAAGTCCGTACAAACCGTGCAAAGTATAAGCTGCGGATTTGCTGTGTTTTTCTACAAGTGTAAATATGAGTCGAAGTAAGTGTAAATCACACTTATGTATTCGTGTTCATTCTCTCTCTCTCTCTCTCTCTCTCTCTCTCTCTCTCTCTCTCTCTCTTTCGGTCTCCGTCTTTGTGTGTCTCCCTCTCTCTCTTTCTCGTGCGCGCGTAATGTAAGCGCGATCCGTTTTTTCCCTATACCTGTTTGAGAAGAATAAATGCCAGTGCCAGATTATGTATGCGCTAAGAGCGCAAATAATTCCTACCAAGTCGTTCACATAATTTGGGAGTAACGATGTTTTTTTTTCTCGCTTTGTTGTTGTTTGCGTTTGGCGTGTGTTGTTTTTTTGGATTATATGGAGAAGAAGAAAAAGAAAATGCATGTAATCGCAGGCAAGGCAGCCAACACACGCGTACAACTCACTTTGCCATTCGCAATACACACTGAATAACTTTCAATAAGCAGCACTCTAAATATGAACGAACAAATGACTCGGAGAATCTCTCTTCGAAGCAGGTGAGAATTCAATAAAGTATGGGAAAAAAAAGAAGGAGACAGCAGAAAAAGAAGACAGAAAAGAATGAGTGGCACTGAGAAGAGCGGCACTAGATTGGCAATTGGACGAAGGGGAGTTTATGCCTTTTCATACATTTTTCCGATGGTCGGATCGGAATTTTCGCTCTTCTTTTCATTCATTCAACACACACCGTATGGTGTATTGTGGTTGCCTTGTGTATTGTGTGTGTGTGTGTGTGTGTATATAGTTGAGAATCTGCCTTTCAAAAGGATGAATTTATGCTTGATCGAGCAATACACATTCTTTTTTGATTACTCACATCGTTCCATCGTCTACGTACCGTGTACGTATATCATATCTGAGAGCTGTCTTTTATTTTGGATTCCCATTTAGCTCAATTCCAATTCTTTTCTTTATATAGACGAACGAGAAAAAGAACGATTGAGCTCACCGTTGCGGTGGTGGTAAGAGCACAAACTACACAATACATTTTGCATGAATACAAAATAGGACACCGAATTTCTGAATGACACAAAACGCAAAATGATATTAAGGCAAAGCGAACGAACAAGTGAATCGGCAGAAAAAAAAAACGACCCAGAGCTCGATGGCTCATGTTGTGTTGAATTTATCAAGAAATTCACAAAGAAACAATATGTTTGATGAGAGCGAGAGGAAGATAAAGAAAGAAAAAAAAACAAATCAAAGCAAATGCTCACTCGCAATTTTTATTTGAAAAATTCGCAATGTGTACGTATTTTCATACAATTTGGCCTATTCATACTTGCTTTTCAATCAAAATGATTGACAAAATTTTCCACCACAATTAGTAAAAATTTAAAGGAAAAAAAACTATGACTCGACAAACCAAATTGAGTGAAAATAAAAAGATACAAACGTAGGAGAAGGAGGTGGAAGAAGCGAAAATCTGGACACGGGAATACAAACGGCCTTTGTATAACTAAGTACTGATACATCAGTCAACGATATGGAATTGGTTCTGAAAATTTTGAAAATTCACCGTCATTTTTTTGACAGCAAGACCCAAAGCGAAGTATTATGCATATAAACACGTATAGGTACCTGTAGTTTGTGTCACTTTTTGCATACTTGCATTTTTCAAGTATACACCGTCGCATTACCCAAGAGAAACGGCCAATATATTTATACGCTGTCTATTCGCCGAAAATACACTACAATATATATTCACGCTTATTGGACGCCGAATTGAATATATATTCTAGTGTATTTTCGGCGTATTCTTCAGTGTGAAACATATTGAAACATATTTAGGCGCCCTCTGATAGCCATGAATGCATTCATTGATTCAATATGTTTCACGCTGAAGAATACACCGAATATACACTAGAATATATATTCAATTCGGCGTCCAATAAGCGTGAATATATATTGAAGTGTATTTTCGGCGGATAGACAGCGTATAAACATATTGGCCGTTTCTCTTGGGTGACTGTGCTCCATTGCGTTGAAGATGTACAGGTTTAACACCATTTATTGTGTGATAAAGAGCAGAACCCATCTCACAGCAATGACTTACCTTTTTCTCCACAGAATATCACAGATGTAGATGAAAAATGGACGGATTTCTCAAAGCATATCAACTGAATTGACAAGCAGCAACGAAACTACTATATGAAAATGACCTAGAAAAGAAATGCTTATAAACCACTTTTATAATTTGGTTTTCTTTTATTGACTCTTTATCTTTCAACTATTGCAAAAGCCGAACAAAATATCGAATTCCTCGAAAATCATTTCCAAGAATAAGCACATCAATCATAAAACCGCCACACACACACACACACACACACACTGACGACAATGGAACCATTTGTTGAATTGAGGCAAATGTAATACAGCAAAATGGTTATAATCGGAAGGCCAAAAGCCAATTTTGATTCAATCGAATATATATCACCTAAATTACAAACTTATAATGAGCATTTATCTCTCGCTCTGTTCAACCCCAGGACACAACCAGAATTGTGAAACTGCTTTTGCTTGTGCTCATTATTCAAGAGTTTTACAATAGATTCGAAGAAGCGATAAAATGTTAAATCTGCCTTGCTCTTGAAAATTCTAATGGTGAATGTTCTCAATTCCAAAATTTCACCTTTGGAATGTAAATAAATGCAGTAGGCAAGTTCTCGGTCATCGATGTTGTTATATATGTGTATCGTGTTTATGTATATACAAATATCCATCCGATCGCTTCAGCTATACGGTTATATGGTACAAACGGGGTACAAATTACGATATACAACCAACTTACGGTTCACTGTGGACAATTATGATACTATTCGTGTTTGGATGTATTTGTTTTCTGTTAACTTGGAACCGAACAGTCAGAAATTGTACGATGAAATGATATGCAACATAGGGTTAATTTAAATGTTTTGATGGGTGTGTTGATCAACTAATTCGCAAACAATTTAGCCAGTTTTATTTAAGTGCCTGAGCTGCATTAAATGCACCCATCAATAAACGTTTAAATCGGTAAACATTTTCCAATTGCAGAGGAGAAATTTCAGGTAAAATATCTCGTCCATATCCATTTCATATGATAAAATATCGAAATTCACTTTCGAAATGATTTTGTCGTGGGCTCAAAATCATAAAATATAACTAAGATTTTTGGTGTTTAGGAAATACTGCAATTTGATCTTGTGCAAAAGCTCCATTTTCACACAGCTGACAATTCGATTCGCAATCATTTATTTTTTTTTCCTTTTCTCGCGTAACATCCATCTCTATGCTATCCAAAATGCGTATGGAGCGCAATTGAAATGCAAAAGAATGTTGAAATTGGTGTGGTTATGATATTTATACATGGTTGTGGAATATTCCCCTTGCAAGCATCCAGGGATTTGGATTCACGGTTGTGCTTTTTGACTGTGCAAACAAGAGTAAAGTACGGTGTAGACGTGTAGACGTGAATAAAATGTGTATATATACACGCGTGCTTAGATTTTTGTGTGATATGGTTATGGTGAGGCGCGCACGGTGTGCGTGTGTGTTGATGGTATTTATGTACGAAATGATTATGTGATAGAAGGCATTGGAGCCTTCAATACGCTCAACCAAATTGGTGGAAACGGTGAGCGCTGGCTAAGAGTGAGAGTGAGTGAGTGTGTGAGTGACAGAGAGAGAGAGAGAGTGCCGTTATAATTCACTCCTGTTTTTCTCAATGCTCAGGCACAAAGCGCAAGCACTGGCACGGGCATGAGAGAGCGAGAGTGAGAGCATACACGCACATAACGCGAGGCTAGCCGAGCATATACAGAGGACGAAGACATTGAAAATTTTCAGACTGCACAATACATAGAGATCTCCGTGAAAGCCCGCTCGAATTGTTATATACTGTTTCGTTACATTCGAACAGACAGTTTGGTTTCGCTACAAAATTCTGCGTGAGTTTCGGTGTACGTTCTTCTGTTATTTGTTTTTTTTTTTCGCTTTTTTTCTCTTGTATTCGAAAATGCTATTTACCAATTGTTGCTACTGCTACTGCTGGTGCTGGTGCTGGTGCTGGTGCTGGTGCCTGTTCTTGTTGTTGTTGTTGTCTCTCTTCCATCGACGTCGACTTCAACGAATCGACATTGTACACTCTCGTCGTATTCGTATGTTGTTTTTGGCCTTTCGTTTTTAGTCTGTTGTACATTATCTATCAAAGTTAAGCAATTCCATTTCGTATGCTCGCTAAGCATAAATAGTCTGCTTTTCGGTTGCCGTGCGTTAATACGTGTTGTCATAATTTTCTGCTCTACGTCATATTCATTATTCATTGTTGCATATTTATTTATTTTAATTGTTAATTTATATACGTATATTATATATACCGAAATCTATATAGATTTAATTTTACAACCACAAAAAAAAAATTAAATTTTTTTTTCTCTCTTTCATCATATGCTCGGTTCCGTTCAATTTGCTTTGTATCGCTACTTACTCTGTTTTTTTTTTTTCATTCACTCGGTGGTGAGAGAGCGAGCGCGCTTCGGTGTCTCTCGGTTGCAAATTGTCGCTCTTTTCACAACCTTCTAAATTAATCACCGAAATAAATAATTAATAAACTAAAATTTAATTTGATTTGTTATGAGAGTACAAATACGTGGTGGTGGCGACAACGACAACGACGTCGACGACGACGATAGCACCAACAACAATATCGGAATAGAAGCAACAACTCATTTCATCCTCCTCCCGTTAAAAATTACAAATACACACATACATGGTGAATGATTTTGTTTTCCCATGGACCAAATATGAACTGTGTGTATATATCTAGAGTCTCACTTTGTAGAGGCTTGTAACGCGACAACAAAACAGAGAGCAACAACACAGAGCACAGCAGAACCTAAAAAAAAAAATCATTTTTCGCCTGGATAGATAGATCCCTTCGTACATTGTAACTTTGCAACAGGTTAATAATATTCGAGAGCCTTCTGCTTGGTTTGGTCCTATTGCTCTCCTCTCTCTGTGTCCGTTTGTAGTAACAGTAGTTAGTTCATTCATTTTATTCATTTTATTATCCAGTCACTTAGCCTTTTGCCACAAATTTATTCCTTTTTTTTTCGAAATAAAATAATTTAAAAAAAACATTGTTTTTTTTGCGCATTCCGAGTGTGTATTATAATATTAATTTATTTTTTGTGCTTCATTACATTCGATTCGATTCAATGTGCTTTGGTAAATATTGAAATTAATGAAATAATCATACCGTCAAACAAATAACATAAACAAATGGAAATATCGATGACAAAAATGGAAATGACAAAAAAAAATTAGTTCGATTCTGAAATATTTGTGCATTTGAGTGAAATACATTTTTGTGTCATTATTCGACGACCATACAAAGTGAACAGTTTTTGGTGATTTTTTTCTTTTCAAAACGGTTTATTTTACGCTATTTCTGACGGGGGAGAGAAACAAAAAAACGTAAAAAAATCAAAACAAAAGTGATACAATAGATGGAAGAAGAAAGAAGTAGAAAAGTAAATGCATAAATGACAAATCGAGTGAGTAACTTCTGTGAGACCGAAATTGAACAGGTTTGAATATGTGCGATTAATTATTATTTCGTACCCAAATAAATGGCTTATGTTAGTTAGTTAGTCTCTTGTTGTTTGAAAACAAACAATCTTCTGTGTATCCTCACGTTGAAACGAGGTTCAAATCACTCGAAATTACTTTTTTTTCCTTTTGAGTTTGTTAAGTTAAAAATATCAAGAAAATAATGTATCGAAAGCTCAAAGAAAAGTTTCTAAAATGGGAAATAAGCGGAATCGTGATGGAAAACAACGGAAAAACCCAACGCATATCTCATGTGCAGCGATGAAGAAAAATATCGCTTTCTGCAAGTGCAAGAGGGCAAAAATGAGAAATCCCATTTAATTTGTCTAAGAAAATACCGTTTTTTCTCCTTACTCAACGTCTTCTAATACATGTCGGTCGAGTCGTGTCGTTCAGATCGTCAGACGGTTAAAATTGATCGAAGTTTATGACAAATATATGTAGAAAAAATACATCATAACTCAGATTCCGTGTATATACATATATATTTTTGTTTGCACCTCATTTCATTATCTTTTGCCTGAGCTCGAAGAGTTTGCCACCACACACACACACACACACAAACACGCACGCACACATATATAAACACCATTAAAAAATATAAACGGAACATGACCGTAAAAAACCATATAAAAATGAGGCAAAAATTCGACTCGTAATGGTTTCTATATATTTTTGCCAAAGCTCATCTGGACACATGCAAACAATTTGGTCCAGTTATGATTCGTAGGCTGTTTCGTCAACGAAGACAAAGGTGTTTGTATGTATTTTGGTGTAAAAAAAAAAAAAAGATGTATGCGGAACGAGAGTGAGAGTGTATTCGATAAGTCAACAAAATTATGTTTTTTTTGGGGGATGGCGAAGAACAGGTTTTCATTTCCAATTTTTGTGGCATGATTGCTATGATGCAAACAAGAAACATTAAAGATTGTCTCATTTATTTTGAAAGCCCCTGGATTTACTTTCAATAATCGATTTTGAAGCCTCATCAATTTTTACCATTTCGCAAAAATTAGAAGCAACTGCAACACGTTTCGCACGCACAGACACAAAACACTCACACATAGAATAGAAACGAAAATAAATAAACGCTTTCAATGGACGCAAAACAAGTATCACTATAAATGCTTCACTAACCAATCTTTCGATTCGTTTGCATTTGATGGAATTGAGCGAGAGCGACACGGTCTCACATCTCAAATGATAAAGCGAATACGAAGCCTTTCGAAATGAGTGAACAAGTAATGTCGATTTTGACATATCAATATATGTGGCGCTAAGAATGAAAATGGGAATACCAATCTGCTCCGGGATGAATGAAATAGGAAACCAAGTTTCCTGGAAACGCAACCTAAATATTTCGTCTGATGTTTGTTAGCGTAGTGCAGATTCATGTTTCATTCAACACTTTTTCAGGTTTCACTTCTTGACATAGTGTTGTTTTGTAACTTTTTCTGCTAATGAATGTACAATGACACCAGGCGGTGATCGGTACTTCCAAACGAGACGTATAAATTTTACGAACTCGACAAACTACGATTGTGGAATTAGAGTGAATTTTTAAGTGGATTTTTTCTTGTTTAAAAAAATGAAACCGACAGAATTTTTTTTATTCAAATTCTGGTTCATTAACCTACATTTCTACGTCATACAAAGTAAACAAGCCACGATTGTGGCCAGTGAACGTTTCTTTGTTTTTGTTCATTGAAAAGCATTAATGATGAAAGTGCCGTTTATTCTATTTCGTTTTTTTTTTGTCAATTTCGCAAATTGACCTTCAAAGTGAGCTGTTGACGCAAACACAAACAAAGAACAATCACAGCGATTGACACAGAGTATCTATCTGTGAGTGTGTTGATTAAGCATTGCACTTATTGTCAACAGAAAATTTCACTTTATGTGACCATTTAGTGAAAAAGATTTCGAAATGATTGGCTTCATTTTGTTTGAAGGAGAACGAAACGCAGTGCGATTATTTTTGCATAAAAATTTCAAAATACAAAACATAATCGTGTCTTATCGGATTGAAGGCTTCATAAATGGCTCAACCAGAAAATGTGACAAAGTAGCAATGACTCAAAGAACGTAAAATGGAAAAGTAGATTCTTAAAAATGCAACATAAATTTACACTACGCTGAAGTGCATCATGAACCAAATTGTAGCAACCGAAATTCGTGTTACGGTTATGTTGTATAAGTGATTCATGCTGCATTGGTAAAGAAACTATCACATGCGCATTTCAGAATCAATTTTTTCTAGTTTTGTTCCATTCAGGATCATATTTGGATTTCCATTTTTATTCTTTGCAACACATGCATAAAATGGAAAAGCGCTTATTAAGTCCCTGTTTGGCAACATGTGAATGAAGGCGAAATTAAAAGATATTACTGTGTGATGTAGAATAGAATAGAAGAGAGAGAGAGAGAGAGAGAGAGAGAGAGAGAGAAGCAAGCGAGCTGCGTTTAAAGCGAATTTCATTTTGCCCTATGGATCTGTTTATCAGACGGGGTCAAACTTCTGTATTAAGTTGCTGCCGAAAGTGCTAAATGCAAATGGCTTTTACAATTGTGTAAATATTGAATAAAGTCATGGGAAAGACAGAGTGAGCGGGGAAAAAGAGAGCGAGTGGGAGCGTTGACAAGCGATGAAAACTCATTGAAGAGACAAAATACGATGGGATGCTTTGTCCCAAGCATATCATGTGCTTGATGAAACAAATAAACAAGTGCACAAGGTGACAAAATTAATCTTGAGTACACGATTGTTTTCTGTCTGTGCCGTTCACGCAATCATCGCACACACATACCGTTTGGGTGCGCTCTCTTGCATACAAATAATCCTTGTTGTGGAATGTTCAAAACATGAGACTCTTCATTAAACTAATATTTATGACGACTCTGGTAAACCCGAGCAACTTTTCTCATTTGTTTATTTGTTTTTGTGCGATGCATGCGTTGTACTCATAAATTTCCATAATTTTCAATCAAATTGAATGTCAACGAGTAGATGAATGAATGCAAAATAAAACAACAACAGAAATAACAACAAACTACTTAACTTGTCACTAGAATTGAGTGCGTGTATATTGTATAATAACTGAATATTCAATACATACAGTGGCAAAATTTGCTTGAACTTTGAGATTAAATTGTAACAAGTCTTGTTGTTGTTGTTGTTGTTGTTGTCCATTGCATATGACAGCATTCAAGCGTTCTAAAGTGATTAGCAGAAAAGTCCCGTTTCAAAAGCGATGAGAGTTTTCTCTACAGCCCTGTGGCTGTCTAGCTTACTCTCTCTCTCTCTCTCCGTTCGCCTAATTTCTGGTGTAATATTATGTGGTTGGGAAAATAGCACTGGCAAAAAGTGTGACTATTTGAAAAGTAATACTGGTATAGAGATGCTGCTGCTGCCGCTGCTGCTGCTACTGCTGTTGCTGTCACTTTTGGGTACAACGTTGCGAATATTCTGAAAAAAAGCAGCACTAATTAGTGGTATTATGAGGTCGTTTTGTTAAATCTTCAACTTAAAAGATAATTAAATATCCCACAAGACCGATGTCGTTTTTTATTTTAATCGATTTTGTGTGACCACCTCCTCTTTCTACCCCACAGCTCAAAATGGCAATGAATACTTTTGATTGATCCTACGCCAATGTGTACGATGTATTGGTATATGTAATAAAAAAAATCACAAAAAAAGTCATCAAAAATGCATACGCCACGATGTGATTTTGTTCCATAACATTGCGCGCAACAACGTTGAACAAGCAATTCATGGAAATGAGTATGACAAAAATGAAGTTGTTGATCAAATCAGCGATTTTGATTCAGCTTATGGTTTTTATTCCTAGCATCTCACAACGATATGATCTGCTTTATTTTGCTATTCGCCTACTGCTGGCTCTCGTGTGTTGGGCCCTTTCATTGCTGTTGTTTCACTTTTTCTTCTTCACATCGCTTGTGTTCATGCCTTTTGCCGTTTTGCCTTTCCTACGGGGATGCTTTATTCCTTATTTTTGTCGTTCATTTCCAATTCGTTGAACATCGCATTCATTGAGATTTTCCGCTTTACTTATTTTTTTCTTTCGCTTTCGCTCTATACATACACACAAGATAAATAACATTATTTTGAATTCCAGTGAATGCGGTTCGATTCACATTAGAATATATTATCTTTATATTTTCAAATTTATTCATTCGTATTTGACTCAATTTTTTCGTTTATCACTGTTTACGGTGCGTGTTATAATCCAACGGTATGACATCTTCTCTCTCTCTCTCTCTCTCTCTCTCTCTTTCTTTCTCACTCCCACACTTCCTCACACTCCATCGCTCCCTCTCTTGCTCTTCCTTTTTGTCTTTCGATTTATCCCCTTAACCGAATCAAGACAACTTCTATACACACCGACATCGACACCAATACTAACACCGACCACCGAGTGCTGGTATGAATTTATATTGCTTTAATAGATACATTCTTATTTTATTGATCATTTATTGGGCGCAAGTTACGTTTGCCAAACGCTTATTCACATCGCTATTCACCTTTTGATGAGACGCCTTTTTCTTTTCCTCTAATAATGAAAAAAAAAAAAAATAATCGGAAAAACTTGACGATTTTTTTCTCTTCGATTCCTCTCGTTTGCTTGATGTGTTGTTTTTTTTTGCTGCTCTTTTACTTTGCGTCACTTTTCTCTTCGTTTCAGTTCGAACGCACACACTCGCATAACACCCGCTTGTTCTGATGAACAGGGGATTCAAATAAGTATCAGCCTTGAATGATATGAATCAAATTCCATTCGAAGCTTATTAAATTCCGCTTTTTTCTCTCTGCTTCGTCTTCCTCTTATCAGCTCCGCCCATTTTCAAGGTATTTTGCGATATTGAAGCGGTGAAACGGTAATAAAGTTAGCGAAAAGTCAATCGATGCAACGAGGTTAAATATTTCCGTAATGAAAACGAAAGGAGATTTTCCATAGCGCGCAATGATGATTTATGGATTAAGCCCTCACTTTTTTCTTATCCTCGCATTGTTTGTGGGTCGGCACACGATTGACGTGAGCATTCACGATAGAAGAAAATATATATAATCATAATTCATAATATTAATTATTACAATCGCTTTTATTTTCGTTTTTATCGCCCACTAATAATAAGTGATTGTACTACTTGAATCGTTTTCGTGATCATTTTTCTTCTTCTTTCGCCATAGTCCGCAAATGTGCAATGCACTGTGCAAAACAAATCGCGTGATCAAAATGGGAATTACATCTCTAGTGCTGAGATGTAAAACAACGTAAATTCGGTTAACTTCGTGGCAAACAGCATGGAATATGTTTCATTCTAGGTTCAGTGCATCTAATAACTGGCAAGATCTAATAATGTTTATATTTTGTGTGTTGTCGCGGTTTCTCTTTGAGTTTTTGAGTTGAACTGATAAGAGATAACCGACCTCCTTCAGAGATAACGGTCTCTAGCAAAACCATAGAGCATCTCAACTTGAACAATTTTGCTCAAGACACCAAACTGTTATCTATCAGGTCGGCGAAAAGTACGCAAAATCACAACGACCCAGAACAATGAACATGTTTTCATTTAATAGAAACCAGAAAAAAAAACACCTTCCAATTTCGAAAATACAAATCGAAAGGAAACAAACAATGTTCTACGTCTCACCAATGGAATTGGAATATAAATTTCTTGAATCTTTGAAGCAGACAGCTTCACTACCATCAATTATTATTCACGTATTTTTATGGAACTGTTGATTTGCTAAAGAGCAGAACGAATGAAGGGAGGGAGGAGAGAAGCGTGCGTTGTGTGTGTTTGTCTGGATATGCTTGCATTCCAACACACACACACACACAGAAAGAGAGAGAGAGAGAGAGAGAGAGAGAGAGAGAGAGAGAGAGAGAGA